ATGCTGAATTGGTTTAATTAATCATGAAATAGAGATAYTCTCCAGTGTTTTCTCAGAAATGCTGTTTCAACACCATGCCACTGCTTCGCYGGTATGAGCCCATAAGAATAAAAATGTAGATTTGATAACAATTCAGCTTAGCGGAAAGACCAAGCGTGCGCTGAAGAAGGTCAGAACAGATTCAGCTCAGTAACAAAGCCCCACCGTGTCAACAGCAAAGAGAAACAAGGCAAATAACAAACGAGTCAGAACCATTTCTTCTTTCAGACACAATCGAAGCTAAAACATGTTTGCTCGGAAAATATCCACACTCCACATTAGTGAGGTCACGCAATTCATTTCTACTGAAAACATTTCAACAAGCCCCTCAAGATAAGGTATCAGGTTTTACAGCGCTCTACATCATTAGCTCACACGTGTACGGCGTCTCCAAGGACCTTTAATTTGAGTAGGAAAAGTCTGTTCCTTCGCTGTGAGGTTAAAGAGTGGGTGACAAGTGAAGAAAATCACAGCGGAATGCATTAATTAGGTAGACCTAAAAGCATATTTATCAAAGGCTAAGCCATGTGGGAATTATCTAAGAAAGGCTCTAATAAAGACAAGACAGGTTAATAGAATAAAAGGCCTTGAATAGGATATGTGCTTATACATAAAATATCAACCTGATCTCACATGTAAATGAACGGTCGGATTAAACGTTACAGCAAGCCGACCGGTGGCGACCGGAGTGACCTTTATGTGGTTTGACAGTGACAATTGGCATCTTATGTTCACTCTGATTAAAATGTCAAAGCCTCTGACTTCATTCATCCTTCCACAGAAAATGGCCCAATATTTGCTCAGGCTGATTGCGCCGACATGAATATGCTGATATATATCCCCACCAAAAAAAAGGTAAATAAATATTTAATGAACTCTAAGAATCGGAAAACAGCAGCACGGAGGGAAACAAACAGCCCAGTGATTCTGGCTGAATCATTCTAAACGGTGTCAATCACATGTGAAGAAAAGGATGGCTTTGTTCCCGGGCAGCGATGACTTATGGTCCCTCTGAGGCGATTGAGACAGACGGAGGCTGATTGAGAGAGCTTATCTTTATGGTGGAGCCGCGGAATTGTTAACAGCATCTGATGGCCTGCGTCCGCCCGAGCTGAGTGGGGAAATAAAGCTGCTGGGCTCCAGCTGCCTTGCCATCATTCTCAGAGGTAATGATCTCTGTCTGGCTCAGAGGTAAGTAATAGTCTGCCCCCGGGCTGTAGGGTGGGGGGGTGGGGGTGGGGTGACGCAGCATCACGGCGTTGAGTTGAACTTGGACAGATGAGCACCAATCAGATCACTGCGATATTTATTAACATCTTAACAAAGATTGCCAAACCTTGTTTCAGTATAAATGAACGCCTCTCATTATTTATTTTTGAAATGTTCTAGAATAGACTATACCAGCAGTGGCGCAAGATTTAGCAGATTTTATTTTATTTATTTTATTTTTTTGTTTTGTTTTAAGCCTATTTACATAGAGGTATTCAAAACAGTATTTAGTGACCTGCTGGCTCAGACAGAACACGGGTCGCACATTTAGAGGACAGAATCGAAAAGATCTAGCTCCACTCAATTATCTTTACTGCAATAATTAATCAATTCACAGTGCACATCCGAGTCTCAGAGGTGTCTTTGAGATAATTGTTCTCATTGACTTGAGTAATTATTTGTTTGCTGATTTAATTATTTCCACATCTAGAAAACAAATGAATCTGTGCTGGTATACATTCCAGATTTTGATTGTTTTCTGTAGATGTCAATATTGCAGGGGAGGGAAACGCAAAAATATGTACTRTGAATGTAAGCATCAAACGAAAACACAAATGTTATTATAAGTCCTTTTTTGCAGAAYGTCTCTAGAGAAATTAAATGCCATCTGATTCAGAATTTATGTGATTGTTTCCTCTTCAAACCTCAATGTGGAGAAGGTCAATAAAACATGAGCTGTTTCCACCTAAACTGAATCAAAGTCTAATATTTCTCAGATAGAAGGTTAGCTCTGGGTTACAGACACAGTGTCCTCGTTTTGTGACTGGCACGCTGCAAACAGTCCTCGGTTTACKCCATTATGAGTGCGAGCGAGACCTTCCGGCTACTGTTGCAACCAGCACAAATTACGAGGGCCAATTTTAATGGCACTCGCTACTATTTATCATGCCGTTTTAAATGTTTTGCTCATTTGTTTCCATTAAATATTTCATCTTCCCTTAAATATTCATTTAACTTCCTCTTTAAATTTTTTACCAGCCTCTTTGCAGTTGCTATCTTGCTACCCCCTTTTTAGGCTTTGCAGTCATAAATAATAATTCATCTGCACCAGAACAAAAAGAAAAAGAAAAAAAAATGAGATAGCATAAAACATGCACAAAAATCCTTTTTGTCTTTTCTCATTAGTGATATACTTTGGGTAGCCTAAATACTTCCCCTTACCTCGCTTATGGAAATTGGTTGGGGAACCGTCTTAATGATTCTGCTTCACAAATATGATGCAGCTTCTGTTTTGGAACCCAACTTCCATACATCCTTTCAGGATGACAAGTGGGGGTTCTGCTCAGGATGTGCAGGTCTTGCTTTGCAGCTTTAGCTTCAGCGTCAGCATCAGCTGCTGGGCCTCGGAGGATTTTCTGTAAAGGCAACAATAGTCTTTGTTAGTACAGCTTTTCAATGGCTAACGCAACTCAATAAAAGTTTCTTCTTTTTTTAATAACAGTTGTAGAAAAGTACAAATCACATCAATATAACATTTCAATACAACAATGTTTGGTGTTTTAAAATACTTTTATTCATTTTCCTATTTATCAAGATCTGGTTCAGTGCATAAATAAATTTGACCTGACTCTCGGCTAAACTGGTGAAATGTGTCTAAATTTGTTGGATGATTTCAGCATGGCTCATTAGCATACAGCTCCACGAAGGGAAGCGGAGGGGAGGCATAAACTCCCCATTTTCCTGGATTATCCGTTTGCAATCAGGCCTAATGATCCAACAGAGCAAATAGCAACGTGGTAATTAGAAATTAAACTGTGTGATCCGCTGCAAACTGAGGGAGCCTTAACCAGACAGCATCAATGTATTACAGCTTAATATAGATCACAATTAGATTAGGTATTTGATTTTGGTTCTTTTAGCGTGGTGTGAAAATAAATTAGCAATTAGACTACCACAATCCCCACAAGCCAAACTTTTTTTAATGCACTGATATGAAGCTGATAGGATTTAATATTCAATAKAACCACGTCTCAGGAACGAATGCCACCATATCAGTTTGTGAATTATGAGAATAAAACTGAAACAAATATACTTAAATTATTACTGCATGACCAAGAGGAGAAATAAGCATTTTTTATTATTATTATTTTTTGTTGCTAAAATTGTATGAAACTGGAAATATGAGTGGCAGCACAACTGTCGGATTTCTCCAAACCCACAATGTATATTTTACGCTGCACATTGTCAGGTTATGGCAGATTTCTATGAGTGCAAGTTGTCCTCATCACTGGAGTTTATGTAAGCGTTTGCCTCCACCTAGTGGTTAAAGTTTATCTCTTTGCATGAAAGTCTGAATTAATTTTGTATGGAGATGTGGTCACTGAAAAGAATAGAAATCAGGTAAACATTTGGTTGGTTTACACTAAAAAACAGCTGAAATTATATTACTTGAAAATGATTTGATGTGATGTTAAACCATATATATATATACAGTATATGAAAGAAAATACAAACAGCAGAGACAAACTTACCAAATAGACTTAAAGTTGCTCACCGGATGGTCTATGTTCCCTCAAATTTGGTTACAAATTCTGGGTAGAGACAAAAAAAAAAGATTTCAAATTAAGGCGGTCAAATTAGTTTTCTACGGGTAGCTGGACCCTCTTTTCTTCTTTTATCTGTTTGTGCAGAGTCACAGGGAACTCATGGGGCTGGGCGATAAAACACTAAAGATATTTATTGTGACAGACACGTGATCAAAAGAAAACACATCTGATWAAATGTTGATCAWGTCAATGAACTCTGATCCAGAACKGCATGGCATTGTGGGGGATGTAGGCAGAAGAAAGGCCCAGCTAAGCAGGTTTGTGGCTCAACTAACTCATGCTTTAGTAAGCTAGCAACAACCTGCTGAGTAACATGAGCAGTGTCAGTTTTATGTTTCATAACTGCTTAAAAATAAAAAGGACTTGGAGTGAAAGGAGAAAATGATGCAACAGCTTAGGAGAAAATTGTGGATGAGGAAAGGTCCTGTCACCAGTTAGGCAGTATTAATCAGTCTTTTTTTCTCCTTCAAATAGGTAAAACAAAACCTAATCAATAATTACCAATACCAACTGATACAAAATGCTTATATCTTGATACGTTTTTCGGCCATATTGCCCAGTCCTACTCCAGCATCAGTTCGCCAGAGGTAGGGCATTCGCTGGACATGTCGCCAGTCCAGTACTATTATGAATGTGTTTCTTTTCTTATGTTTGTTTGTAGATTGTTTCATTGCTGCTGTGTTTAAAATAGTAATTTTTACACTGATACATGCTGTACGCCTCATTCTTCAATTCACAGACTCAATGCAAAAAAAGGAAGCAAAACATCCATCCATCCATCATCTGTACTGGCCTAATCTTGTTCATGGTTATGGGGAGCTGGCGTCTATATCCAGCAGTCAGTGAGCACCACCTGCACAAGAAAAAAAAAAGACCAACACAAACTAAACTAAATAAATAATAAAGTTCAAAACTACCAGCTAATGAGTAGATGCAAAACCAGCCAAAACTGGGGAATTAACAGATGAAAACATCGAAATGCATTTAAATGTAATGCAAAACACAACTATAATGCAAAAAAAAAAGAAAAGAAAAGAAAAAAGTATAGACATGTTGGCATAATAAAATGAACTTTTATATAGAAACAAACGAAGATGTCTTAATGGACTGACAAAAGATGCCTTTCTGTGAGGGGGCGGAGCTTGATGAGCTCGTGCCCAAGGACCGGATGTTTCTTGGACCGCCTGTGGTCAAAAGAGAAACTTGTGCGATTAAACAAATAGCCATTGTCTCAATACTTATATAAAGTTAGAAACTAGCAAAACACAGTCTTAATGTTGTGTCTTAGTGGACGGACCGGCTGATATTCCACATTAGAGCTGGCAGTAAGTGGATAACATATATTTTTTGTAGTTTGTTGTAGCTACGGGCTAAAGTTAGCTTACTGTAGGCGAAAAGTGACGTCCGCTGGAGGAACCGAGCATTGTGACTTCAAGGAAGGAAGCAAGCAAGGAAGGAAGGAAACTTGATCGGTGGGATCCTCTGCGCACCGCTGTTTATGCAAAGCTAGCTAGAAAGGGTGACTAAATTTGAATACCCTGTGCGATATTTTGCACTGTTTGGTTTATTAGACATGTTGTTAGTTGTCACAGCTAAGTGTTAGCAGCGCGTCTTGYGGCTAGCTGTACAGTGGACAGGAGCTAGCCCGCTAGCAGCAAACTTAGGAAGAAGTTGTGTTCCGACTTTTTTTGTCACGTTGATTTAAGGAGCCAAGCAGACGTCATTGTTTTTTTTAATAGTATGCTCATGGCATCGGAAGTAATAGAGAACGAAGCCGTTTTAAAGGGTGCAAGTGATACCAGTTGGAACAATAGCAGCCTAGGTGTTGTCACACCCAGCAGGAGGACTCGTGAACATTTGGGAAACAGACAAACTAGTCCCACATCTTCCGGAGTGTCGGGAGAAGCGGGCCAGGAGGGTTCGGACGAGCTGCGAGCTGGCACCACGTCTGCTGTTGAAAATGGCGAAGAAGGATTTGAAGGAGGTCTAACCAAAACAAGAGGTACACCTCAGGGCAGGACAGAAAACCAGCCGAAGCAGTCGGGAGGGAGAAGCTCTACCCCGGTTAGCCTTCCGCAGCCACGCTCACCATCTGGACCCACAGGGAGGTCTGTATTTTCGAGTTTAGCAGACAGATCTGACTGTGACAAGTTTAKCATTTCACATTACATTTGCTTTATTAACTTTGTTTTCCAAAACACCACCATTTCAGTCAGATGATCACAATTTGATGTTCTGAGTTTAGATAGACTATCATGTGGACCTAGTCAAATCCTTTTTATGGATATAAAACTTTTTTAAACCATTACATCCCACGTCATTTAAATAACTTTCTGTGCGCAATTTGTAACGAATTAATTGTAATGTGTACTTATAAGGTTTAAATGTATGAAAACTGTTACCTAAACTTATCATAATAAAGAATTAAGTTATATAGTTTACATAAATAAATGTAAACAAGACCTTAAAGGTTGATTAGAAAAAGTTGTGAAAAGTTATCTTCAATATAAACTTCCTCCAAAGTATGTGTATTGTGATCCGAGCACTTCCCTTTTAAATTKTGTCAGCCACTCTGAGATCTGTTAGTCACTTACTGCCATGTAATCTGGATAAAACACATCAAAATTAACGGGTTTTACCTTAATAAGTTAGAAGAAAGTCCTGAAAGCTACCAYAAGGCTTTCTATTTTATTACTGCAGACAACCTGTTGCAACAATTACTGGTTTTATGTTTTTATTTTTTCAGTTCAGTCCTTGTAATAAAACAATTTCAGACAAATATATATATATAGTCATGAGGGATGCCTGCTGCAACATCTCCACATAGCCAGCTGCTGCCACTGTGCCGTGTAGAAAACATCTCAGGTGGGGTCTCCTTGTCATGCCAGTAACGTTGGAAGCCATCAGGACCATCAAGGTTAAATTTTT